GATTTCCTTTATTGTCACTGAAGGTTATTCAAAGAAATGTACTTAGCCACCGTGGTACAACATAAAAACAACATGTAACAACACAAGACAATAAATAAAATATGTACCATAAAATAATATATAGTCATGATATAGATCTTATTGGACCAGAATATATGATGTTTTAATTATGACAGATTAACAGATTATTTGGTGATGAGGGCCGACGCCCTTAACTTTCATTTATGTGCAAAATAAACTGACACACACACACTTAAGCGAGTGGGCGTGTCTCTGAGGTTTCTAACACGTGAAGAGGAGTCGTACACGTAGAAGACGAAGACGTCCACTTGGAAAGACGAGGAGGTTCCAGATGTTTTGGTGATGAGGGCCGACGCCCTTAACTTTCATTTATGTGCAAAATAAACTGACACACACACACTTAAGCGAGTGGGCGTGTCTCTGAGGTTTCTAACACGTGAAGAGGAGTCGTACACGTAGAAGACGAAGACGTCCACTTGGAAAGACGAGGAGGTTCCAGATGTTTTGGTGATGAGGGCCGACGCCCTTAACTTTCATTTATGTGCAAAATAAACTGACACACACACACTTAAGCGAGTGGGCGTGTCTCTGAGGTTTCTAACACGTGAAGAGGAGTCGTACACGTAGAAGACGAAGACGTCCACTTGGAAAGACGAGGAGGTTCCAGATGTTTTGGTGATGAGGGCCGACGCCCTTAACTTTCATTTATGTGCAAAATAAACTGACACACACACACTTAAGCGAGTGGGCGTGTCTCTGAGGTTTCTAACACGTGAAGAGGAGTCGTACACGTAGAAGACGAAGACGTCCACTTGGAAAGACGAGGAGGTTCCAGATGTTTTGGTGATGAGGGCCGACGCCCTTAACTTTCATTTATGTGCAAAATAAACTGACACACACACACTTAAGCGAGTGGGCGTGTCTCTGAGGTTTCTAACACGTGAAGAGGAGTCGTACACGTAGAAGACGAAGACGTCCACTTGGAAAGACGAGGAGGTTCCAGATGTTTTGGTGATGAGGGCCGACGCCGTGTGGACGAGCTGTAAACAACAACACTGATCTTTACACAGCGGAGTTTAAACGTCATGTCCCGCCTCCTGCTGCTCTATAGGCTCCACCCCTCGCCCAAATGTCCCCCACATGTTCCTGTTGAAATGTTCTGGAACACCAGAGAAAGAACCTCAAGCTAAAACAGAAGAGTGACACCAACACGTGTGTCTCAGTGAATCAGACTGAATGTGATGAACTCTGACCTCTGGTGTTTCACAGGCCAGAGGATGTGCATCTGTCACCTGCCCTGCAGGAACCTGAAGCCCGGCCTGGCTGGAGATCAGGTGAGATGAAACAGATCCTATTTCCTCTCTGTTGTGTGGTTGTTCTGAAGTGAACCCTTCATCCTGTCGTCCGCTCATTACAACATTCAGAAATGATTCTGGTTCAGGATGATGAAGATTCTGGAGCTGCACATTTAGAAAGAACCCAGTGATTAATTCATGTGTTTTCATTCGTTCACATAAATATTAATTTAAATGTTAATTTGAGTTCATGTCACATCTTCCAGGCGTCAGGACGACACGTGGCTCACTATCACTGTGTGGTCTGCTCCGTCACTATCGCCCGCAAGACCGACATGGTCAGTCACCTGAAACGCCACGTCAACAAAGGAGAGACGGAGGCGAGCTACAGCGGCAGCTCCGACCTGCTGTTTGAAGAGCCTGGTAAATAATACGTATAAAATATAGACTGTATATAAAGACCATCACTGACTGTATATAAAGATGATCACTGACTGTATATAAAGACGATCACTGACTGTATATAAAGACGATCACTGACTGTATATAAAGATGATCA